ACGCCATCGTCTGTTAATGATTGGCTCAAAAAGTCTCGCGACTAAGCTACTGGAACCAAGCTGTAGGCCAAGCAGCCCACAGACGACGTTCAGCATGTACAGAGATGACGATGCCCAAATTGTCCCTGGTGAGGGAAGCCTTATTCCCACATATGGACATCTACGAATTGACCTACACCACGGTTTGGGAACTATCCGCATCAGCTGCACACGCACCACTGCCGTCGTGAAGGGGGAAACCTCCTCAGCTTGCCGGAGATTCTTCCGTTCGGAACGACCCGATTTTCTGCCCGCTTTTCCCGCTTGCTGAACGGCAGTATTTGCTCGGAATTATGTTCGTATGTTAAAAAAAAAATATATATATATAAGAAATAGTAACATCGATGAACTGCTCTGTTGAAAAATTTTCCTGCATTTTACATAGACGCCGAGACATATTTAATTTAATCTGACAGCGAAATCATGCAGACCCGATGAACCCGATCTGTTTGATTATCCACGAATAAAAAAGGAAGGCGAACGCCGGAGCGCAGCCGGGCGAGACCGAATTAGATAATATCACGTCACCGCATCACGAATATAAATAATTACGCGATGCCGGCTCGTATCGCGCAACGACGTCGCATCGGGGTCTCTGGGGCAGCCCAGTGATCACCGACGATCAAACACGCCGGCCACGATTAAGCCCCATTTGGTCCAGCTCCGCTCCCAATCACCTCGATGTGTAGACACCGCGATGCTCCTTAAGAGACAATTTGATTGCTTGGAAGTACGGATATGGGTGACGATCGATCGGGCTTAACCCCGGTTTGGCAGCCTTCGGAACTTAATTCGTGCTCAACTTTCCTGCTGCACCCTGGACACGGATAAGAGGGTTATCCACAATACCAGCCGTTGGGAAGCCAATTTGCAAATTCCTCATCTCGAAGCAGCATCTTGGAGGAGCTTCTTGGAGGAGCTTCTTGGAGGAGCTTCTTGGAGGAGCTTCTTGGAGGAGCGTCTTGGAGGAGCGTCTTGGAGGAGCTTCTTGGAGGAGCTTCTTGGAGGAGCGTCTTGGAGGAGCGTCTTGGAGGAGCGTCTTGGAGGAGCAACTTGACGTAGTACCTTGGAGTTTTTTGATGAAACATTTGAAATGGGGTGGACCGAAAGACGAGGACGACAGAGATTCTTACCTGTTGAATATGCGAGGGTCACCCCAAAAGTGCCTCCTATTTTTTTCCTCGGTTACCTTTAATCCTTATTCCATGAAACTACTGTACAGAGGGATGACAAAAGTTTCCGGAAAATTTTTTGAAGTCCAATTCTTCCTGTTCCTGCGATTGTATGCGTGCAAACTTTTATATGAGAATGATGACTGACAGTTTATTTGCCCGTCGCGTAAATTTCATCACATTTTATTCGATTTACGCGCGTTTGGAAACTGCCCATTTTGTCCACCAACCCTTCCTGTGCAGACTCAATGGGTAAAACACGAAGAATTGGCTGCAGCTCAACGCGGTGCCATAATTTATTGCCGTAAGCGACAAGCACGGCACGAAACACCAGTCCCAGCGCATGGACTGTGTCTCACAGTCGCCACAGTCTGCCATTTAATTACATCTATTTTTACTTTAACACACGGGTCAGTGACCGGTGTTTCGTGCAATGTTTGTCACCACGCTTACGGCAATAAAATATGGCACCCCGTTGAGCTGCAGCCAATTCTTCATGTTTTAAAAGGCGTGTAAATCGAAATAAAACGCAACTGGCAAACAAACTGGCAATCATCATATCTATCCAATTTTGCGCGCATACCGTCACAGGAACAGGAAATATTGGACTTCAAAAATTTTTTCGGAAGCTTTCGTCAACCATAGGCAGTACCCAAGATCTTCCATTGCGTGGAGTCGTACCGCCGTGCCGCTATGAACTTGTAAGATGTGTGAGAGATGCACCGTGATTTTCGGTTCTTCCTTGCCATCAGGGAAAAAAAAAACTAGGAGTGAACAAGAAGAGGTGAGAAAAAATAAATTTATTTCACTGATTCTCGTGGACGGGAAAGCACGCACGACATTTTACCTCGGCGCAGGGACGAAAGGCCGAGTCGCGGCGACTCCCGCGAACCTCTCGCATCCATCCGCGGAAACGGTCATCCAGTCGCAGCGAGTCTGTTGGCATTGAGGATGCACGCATAGCCAGTGCGGTACGCGACCCAGTTCCTTATTTTCGTGGTCTCCGTTACCTGCACCCGGAGGTGATAATTGCCAGGCCAATTATTGCTTCAAAAGGGTGTGTCCAGAGCAAAAAAAACTAATTCTGGTTTCGTTACCGTATTTTAATTGCATTGATATTAGTGAATGTATTTATTTTATTTATTATATATTTTATTGGAAGCAATGCACCCACTTTCAGGTTCGTGGAACAGGTCGTGTAGCGCGCCTTGGAGGTCGCGTCCAGCGTGGTGCTGCTCGCGGGGCCGTTCGCGTCGGTGAGGCAGCCGGCCAGGCCAGTGAGGAAGGCCTGCAGGGATGTCACGGGGGTGAAGATGAAGTTCACCCGGCCCAGTCCCTGTGGGGTGTGGGCGAGGTCAACGCTGAGGCAGAAAGGAAACCAACACAGGCCAAAATTGCCTTAAATGTTGCAAAATTGTTAATTCCGCAAAATTTTAATTCTTCAAAATTTTAATTCTGCAAAATTTTAATTCTGCAAAATTTTAATTCTGCAAAATTTTAATTCTGCAAAATTTTAATTCTGCAAAATTTTAATTCTGCAAAATTTTAATTCTGCAAAATTTTAATTCTGCAAAATTGTTAATTCAGCAAACTTTCAGTCTATTTTGGCCCGAGTCAACTTTGCTCTTTCTAATTGAAATGGTAAAAATCGACTTTTTTATCAGAAAATTTTCATTGTGACGCTCCAGAGTTCCGGCAAGAGGAGCGCCACTGTGCCATTCGCAGCCCGCGTGGCTTCGTAAGCTCGAATGGCCGACTGCTGGCGAAATTTTGCTTTCGCAGGGATGTGAAGATGAAATTCGCCCAAAATTTCAATGCAATTTTTAAGATGCACCCGACGAATGATGAAATGAATCCGAATTTTCTCGTTAGATTTTCGTTTTAAATCCTGAAATCAGAAAAAAAAGCAGGAAATTTTTTAGGAAATTTTGCCTCAGCCTGGTGAGAGCATCGGCCACTTCCATAGGGCATTGTCTACTGATTACTTATCGACACGAGAAGCCAGTTTCACATCTGGAAAGAATCTTCGAAATTCTGTGCGAAATAGGAGAGCTCACGGAATTCGAGATGACTTAAGAACTCACGACGACGCAACACGAGATGACTTAAGAACTCACGACGACGCAACTCGAGGTGACTTAAGAACTCACGACGACGCAACTCCGACAGTTGGTTGCACTGACTGCATTGCGACACGTGAGGTTGTCCAATCGAAAGAGCTGACCGTCCACCGCCTTCAAAAAATAAAAAGGAAAGAAAAGATCTTAAGCATCTCAGAAATGATAGTAAAACGCACTGCGAAAATTTTTATAAATCATTGTAGGAATCAAAATTCCATTCGGAGGCCGCTCAGTCATAGAGACCTCCACTGCATGCGCGATGAGCTTATGAGGAATACCCGGGTGAAAAGAAGAGCGGAGACGAGCACGACAGCAGTCATCCGAGCCGCCATCATCCACTTGGAGGACCAGCCGGGTGATGCAGGGGAAGTTGATGCAGGGGAACTGGAGGTCTTCTGGTGATGTCACGAGGCTTTTGTCATTGCCGCTGCATGTGGATCAAGGGCGTATAAGCCATAGTCTGCCTTGTCGCTCTCGGTTTCAATTATCTTTTTTTATTCCTTGTCTGATCTGAAAGGGAGGTCGTGCGCGACCATCTGCACGGAAGCTGCCCGCGGAGAGTAAAAATTCATCACATAAACAGCTCATATTGTTGAATTTCTTTTTGGTCGGGACGAGGCGCTTTAATTCGAATTGCGGATTCGTTGTCATTCCTCAGCTCTGAACAGCGTTTGATCCGCTTGAGGAGTCGCGTGCAAAAATCCCTGATACTTTATAGATCCTGGTGCAATCTCCTTCGGAAGCAGAATTATCAATTGGAAAAATTATCCATTTCTTCAGCAGAGGAAACGAGACAGCGGGAATTGCTGTGGCATCTGCTTGCGAATTTTCAAAATTGGCTTGTTTGATTAAAATCTTGGTGGGTCCATCCGGCTTTTTTTCCCCAACTATAGTCGCAGGAAATAAATCCGCCGGTTCCCCATCATCGATCGAAAGTCCGATGAAACTCGCGGCCTTCACTCGAAACTGAAAAGCCCCACCTTTTCCGATTCGCTTCCGTGCGCATCGTCCCATTGAAAACATTGCGATCCTATTGCACAACGGGATTGCGATCCCTGCAGTACTGCGATCCCAAAAGCGGGAATTTTTTCCCGCGATCTATTAAACAAGGAAGCCATGATAACCCGAGGAAACTATGAGGAAAATAAGGTTTCCAAGGATGAAATTTTTTTCCCAAATTCTTTTCCCAGTTCCTTCTTGTCATCCACCCTAGCATTTCCTCAAGAATGAAAAGAGAACCCTTACTCTCCATGAAATGATTCTCCGATTTGGACCGACCCCCTCCCGACCGCACGTTTCCCCCATGGCAGCGATTGGCTTTTTTTTTCCGAGAAGGGAGCCAATATAACGCGATTTTTTTCGAAGGCGTTGGAATGCGTTCAGGGAATTCCCATTGACCCCGAAATTATGCAAGCAAAAATTTATTACTTGTGCAGTTCATTAGGTGGATCTGGCAAGACTACGAGAGATGAATCATGAATAATTACCCAATGGTAATTGGGCAATTTTATGCTGGTACTGCGAGACGATGCCCCATCGGGGATTGAGGGCAACCCCGTTAGGATCAACCGCTTCATCTAGTACGCCAGCAGTTACGTTGGCCATTATTATACGAAATGGCGGACACAGGTCCACTCTCAATTACCTTCGATGAGCAGACAGAGGCGCCCTTGAAAGGCAATTAGTCATCAAAAGTGACACAGGACGATGCGATCAATGCTCAACGCTATTTCAGCAACATTTAGAATGAGTTTTCCTGCAAGACCTTAGGCAATGGACAGATAGTTGCCTGATCCCCAAGGCCAGTCCCTGCGAAGCTACAGCAATTCCAAATGCTGCTTAAGTAGCATCTTGAAACTTCATCTTGGAGCAGCAACTTGATGCATCATCTTGGAGCAGCATCTTGGAGCAGCATCTTGGAGCAACATCTTGGAGCAGCATCTTGGAGCAACATCTTGGAGCAGCATCTTGGAGCAACATCTTGGAGCAGCATCTTGGAGCTTCTTGATGAACCCTTTGAAAGCAGGTAGATTGGAATCCGAGAGCGACAGAGAATATATACAATTTATACTTGCCTGACATTTTCCCTCGCCGTGCAAATCGAACGACTTCGTTTCCAGCAGAAGTCCAAGAAGTCCCGATGAGCCTGAGATGATCTCATGCGACGGAGCATGAAGGCGAATTTGAAGACGGCTCGCGATCGCATGAATGTATTTTTTTTTGCAGAGGCATTTCGGCGAAGAGCCGTGGGTGGATTTTGCAAATTTTTAAGCTTTCTTCAAAATCACCCCTCAGAAAGGGCAAGTCCCATTCATAAAAATGGATTTTTCGCTTCCCTTGAGCGATTCTGATCCACCAGAAATTTCGCTGGATTGAGATAATCCCCTGGCAGATGAGAGAGCAATGAAAGAAGTCCACAGTCACTCCCATTAAAATATTTAAAATAATTAAAATAATATTGCGGTAATTCGTGTAATTCTCGATCCCGAGCGGGCGCGTAACTCGCTGCAGCCCAGACAAAATCTGAAGCAGCTCAAGATTAAAGCCAGCTTAAGATTGAACGAAATGGAAATGCTCCAGAGTCTCTTCGAGTTTTGCATCGTGCCGAAATCACGCCGAAGAGAATTCGCAATCGTCCCCGCCCGCCTCGAGTCAAAGTTGCTCATTAATATCAATCAGATTGACTTAGCACAGGTGAAATCGCAAGGAACTGGTATGTACATTAATAATGGTTTTTAATATATATTTGCTTACTATATTTAATAAGTATTAATTGATGCACAAATTTTTTTTTTCTCTCTGTTTTCACAAGTATTTGTGCCAAAATGTCCCGGAACATTCGGACTCATTTTTTGCATGAATGACTTTCTGAATGGGAATTGGCCAGCAGCGATTCGTTAAAGGCACTTCGCAGATGAGAGACTAAGCTGACGAAGGACCTCAGAGGGAGACCACATTCAGACCTGTAAAAAAAAAAAAAAAAAGTATAGAAAATTTAAATTTTCTGAATACATTTTTTTCATTGGAAAAGCATGACATTTCTCGATCTGAATATGATTGATTCATTGCAGTTGGACGGCTGATACACGGCCGATGGACGGCTGATGCACGGCTGATGGACGGCTGATGGACGGCTGATGCACGGCTGATGGACGGCTGATCATCGTTGTCACTGAAGTCGCAAGAAAACAGTTCTAATTCAGTTGCGAGATTGAATTTTTATTTCCCATATATTTATATGAAAAGTTTGTCGCCGATGAATCGTAATACATAATACAGTCCGGGGAGGCACCAGCATCAGCCGCTGACATCAGACGCTGAGAATTCTTTCGACTGCAAATGGAGTCCGAAGCGAGGAAAATCGACTTGAGTAAATCGAGGCATGCTAATCGGGAAACCTTGCATGAAAGAGGCGCAGCAACCTTGAGTCGTAGACCTGTCGCAGACCTCTTTCAAGGGATTCGACCCTTTCTTTCGCTAGGTTTTCTACATTCGTCTTATGCGCTTGGTGTATAGTCTCACTCACTGTCGCTGATGAGCTTTGTGAATTTCAAAGTGGACATACGTCTACTTGTCCCGTGCGTCAGGCTATACGTCTGATACTGATTAAATCAGACACAGGATAACGTGGACCTTTCCATCCATTAGGGACTGTTCCTGCTGGGAATCGAAGAGCGCGAAATAATTTGTTCCCAATGCACGAAGATGCACACACACGAATTTGTCGGCAGTGAAACGCTTCCTTGATCACTCCTTGGCAGCATCCGCCAGAAAAAATGGCCGGGAAGCTGCAAATAGGAGACATTTGTACTTTCCTGGCACCAACCAGGCATTTGAAGAACTGTTTGGAGGAAATTAATAAACTTGTCTAAAGCCATCACAAATTGTGAAAATAATTCCTTCTTATTTAATTTCCTCTTAATTCTATATTTACTTCCTTTTCCAAAGAGAGTATTGTCTTCTGCCCTCTGAACTACCTAGAATGGCAGTCAGTTCAAAAGAATCAAGGCGTTTACTGAGAAACGGAACAATGATGAAGGCCTTACCGTGTTTCACTCGTTTTTCCAAGGAATTTATTTTGAGCTTGAATTTACAAATGTGAATAACAAAATCCGGGAAGTGCCTGTTTCTGTCTTGATCACTAATGACGTTTCCAAGAAGAAACTTCACTTTCGATTTGCACAGAAAATTTATTTCAGTATTAATTTTATTTATGGCATCATTTGCCCATTATTATTATCTTCCTATTTTTCAAGCAGCTTGTAGAAATCTAAACATTTGTTGCATGGATTTGATTTCACGTTAGATCTTTCATGCCTTTCAGAAGCATTTTTCAGAGAAAACCGGGAATTTCGTAAAAGTTTGTAAATGCGGTGCAGATTAGTGTTCATTGACATGTTCATCCCTTGGTATATATATTATTAAGACCATGTGATAAAGTACCATGGCTAATGATGCATTGATCTTCAGCCTGCAGCGACTCCTTATCATCCATAACCAATATCAATATATCAACCAATTATTATCAAAACTATGCTTTTGGAAGTGCTGCATTTCAATGCCGCGTGTTTTATTTAACTTTATGTGGGATCTATGATTCTTCATTCTCATATTCAATGGTGTACTGGTCTGGCCGATATAGGCTACACTGCAAGAGTTGCAAGTAATCTCATAAATCAGATGGCTGTTGTTGCAGAAAGGTTTATTAAAAGTGAGGTTCCCTCCTTCCACCATACCTCCTTCCACCTTTGATCAAAGAAGCCAATTAGTCAAAATTGGCTTCTTTGATTAAAATCTTGGCGAGCCCATCCGGCTTTTTTTTTCAGCCTAGTGCGACAGTCGCAGGAAAAAAATCCGCCAGTGTCCCCAACATCGATCGAAAGTCCGATGAAACCCGCAGCCTTGACTCGAAATTGAAAAGCCCCACCAGGAAGTGAAAAATTCTGCAACCCTTTTCGATTCGCTTCCGTGCGCATCGTCCCATCTAAAACACTGCGATTGCGAAAAGTGATCCGATCCCTGGAGCACTGCGATCACCAAAGCGGGAATTTTTTTCGCGAGCAACAAG